ACGCAATCGGCTTCATCGCTTGTGGATGCAAGACCGTGGTAATGAGGAACGTCGAGCTGCTCACCGTACAGCACGTGCAGCTGCCAGGAAGCTGGATAGATCTCTCCGGAACTCCTATTTCATCCACCAGTGTGCCACATCCAATCAGCGACAGCTATGGGCCATTATGAACAATGTTACCGGCCGGAAGACACAGCGGCAGACTCCAGAGGCGCCCATCGAAACCCTGAGTGCTTTCTTCGGTGAGATTGTGCATGATCCAGCCCGACCAGCTGCACTTCAGGCGCCCATGGCCCCTTACGACAATCAGCTTTGACGTCCTTTCAACCTGTCAGTGTGCAAAACGTTGAGCAATGTCTGGCCTGCGTCAACCCGCACAAAGCTAGTGGCAGTGACTGCATTCCTGGTATTGTTTTGCAGTGCTGTGCCAGTATTCTTGTTCCTCATTTTGCTAGAATCATTAATATGTCGCTCTCAAGTGGTACTGTACCCGCATGCTTCAAACTGTCATATGTTAGCCCTTTGTTCAAGAGCGGGGACACTGCAGTCGCAGGAAACTATCGGCCAGTCTCTTTGCTGCCCATTGTGTCTCGTCTTCTAGAGCACTGTGTCAAGAAGCAGATCATGGCCCATCTCCAGGACCACCACCTGCTACCGGCGTCCCAGTTTGCCTACCGCAAGTCCCACTCAACGGAAGACGCTCTGGTTCTTGCAGTGAATCGCTGGCTCTTGGCACGATCTCAGCGCCAGCATACTGGTGTGATTATGGTGGACATGTCAAAAGTCTTTGACAGAGTACAACATCAGCATCTCATCACAGTACTTCATCAGCATGGCATTGGGGGCACTGTTCTGTCCTGGTTCACGAGTTACCTCAGTAATCGGAGGCAGCAAATAAAGGTGGCTCATATTCTGTCGGCACCTGTGGATTGCTCCAGAGGTGTTCCTCAAGGTAGTGTACTTGGGCCATTGCTATTTGTCTTATACACAAGTGAGCTGTCTGCCATACTGCCAATGCAAGTAAGTCACCAGGAGTTTGCTGATGACATTGTCCTGGACTTCTCGGACTCGGATAAACACCTTGTGTGCAATGTTCTCTCAAGTGCTGTCTCGAAACTTGCTGATTGGCTGTGCAGTATTGGACTTGTTCTGAACTCCGCCAAAACGCAAGTGTTGTTCATCCAGCCCCGTGGCCGTCCCAGTGCCATGCCTGGTATTTATTGCAACGATATCCGTCTGTCAGTCACCACAACAGCTAAGTATTTTGGAGTCCTTGTGGACGACTAACTCTCTTGGCAACCGCATGTCGAACAAGTTGTACGCAAAGTGTCTGTTGCTGTGGGACAGCTCTGGCGTCATGGACGACCACTGTCAATCACTGCACGCCGCCTATGGTACATAGCAATAATTCAGTCTAGGATCACTTATGCATCTAATTCCTTTTTTCCGTGCCTCACAAAGCAGTTAGTCACCCGCCTACTGAAAGTCAGCAAGTCTGGCGTTCGCGCCATATTCCAATTGCATGGCGCCGTGCCCACTGGGCCACTGCGCACACGCCTCTCACTTTATTCTGTTGAGCACCTTTTCATCTACAAAGTCTTGCAGTTTGTCTTTCGTTGTCTGTCCTCATCAGCCAGCACATTGTTTCTGCCTTACTTCAATTTGATCTCTGCCGACCCCGTCGTGCACGGGGATCGTCCCTTCACAAGGGGTCAAGCCACTCAGCTTCTCCGTATCCCTTTTCTCCCTGGACAATCTGGACGGCACACTATGCATTTCCTTGGTAGCTCCCTCTGGAATGCCCGATCTGACCACATCAGAATTCTCCCCAATCTTGCGTTATTCAAATCCTCTATCTCTGACCTTGATCTGCCATCTTTTCATGCATGATTTACTCCATTCGGCAATGCAAGACTTGATCGTTTCGCAAGTCTTCCTCTTCTTCCTTCTCTCTCTCGTTCATCTCTATCTATCTATCTATCTATCTATCTATCTCTATCTCTATCTATCTATCTATCTATCTATCTATCTATCTCTCTCTCTCTCTCTCTCTCTCTCTCTCTCTCTCTCTCTCTCTCTCTCTCTCTCTCTCTCTCTCTCTCTCTCTCTCTCTCTCTCTCTCTCTCTCACTCACTCACTCACACACTCTCTCTCACTCTCACTCACTCACTCTCTCTCTCTCTCTCTCTCTCTCTCTCTCTCTCCCGCTCTCCCTCCCTCCCTCTATATAACTTCCAGTCATGCAACGAACGGAACGGATGCTAGGACCCCGCATGCGTATATTACTTAATGTGCAGTGCATCCAATGTGTGGAACCGAGTACCTGTACAAACACAAGTCTCTCACCTCGTGTGGGCGGCAATTTGAGAGGAACGGCGGGCGTGAACGGCTCTAGAATGTCCAGCAGCAGTTCGGTGAGATGGAGCAACTCCTTGAAGTTGTAGAAACCAAAGAAGATCATGTGCTTGGCTAACTTGATCACCTGCATAGACAAGTGAGCAAGATATAGAGACACCAACCGCACCTGTTAAACTCTTCATAAACAATCACGGGGGCGTCGGAGACGTTATGGTTACTATGGCAATGACCGCCTCGGTGTCTGCTCCAGAGCCGGGTCAGTGACCCGGTTGGGGGGGGGGGTACTTGGACCTGCCTGTAAAAAGAACACCGGGTCACGCGTGACCTGGTTGGGACTCGATCAGTAAGTCCTGACTCCTAAGACTCCCTGATGTACAATGGCCACCAACAGCACCATCAGCACTAGCAGCACTACAGTGTAGGTGAAGTCAACAAGGTATTCCAAAATTGATTTTCAAGTCACATTCATCAGTGGAATATTGTGAATGAAGGTTTAATATGCTAGAGAATAAAGATGACCATAGCATCAGGTCAGATAGGACAACGCTCATCATTTAAAAAAAATATTTGAAGTACCATTATATTTATACGGATTTTTAGGGCATGAAAGCATATTCTGAAATAATTTTCTATATTGGCAACACCTTCAAAAGCAATAAGTAGTAGTTTTATTAAGTAGAGATACTGGTAGCAGATGTTCACAAAGGTTTTGCAGCAAGTCGTACTCGTTTTTCAACGTGCTAGTTTGATCGCATTGAGTAGAGAAATACCGGTATTTTACAACTCCCTGCTTGACAGCACAAGCAAGTAACTACACTGTCTTTTAAATGCTATGTTTCATGATAATAATTACTATTTAACAAGGTGAAAGCAGCCAGCTGTCCCGAAACGAAGAATACTGTACTAAGTATGAACGAGGTGAGATATGGGGAAGAGGGAGCTCTACCAGCAAGCTCCGCACCAAAAACAAACAATCGAAATGCCAAATCCGTACAGTCGGAAAATGCAGGCCGTGCATTTTGCGATCAAGGAGCGGAATGAAAAGAAGTTAAAGAACAGATATTGTAACATCCTCAAGTGCTTAGAGTGGCATTGTACAAGACTGATGGCATGGAGGCATGCTGCTGAAGAGGAATGCCAGAAAACCAGGACGGACTCAAATCTGGACAGGGGCATTTCACCCAGGAGCCGGGCAGGGCTAGAGTGGGAAATGGGGCAGAGGCAGGATCAGACGACGGGCACACTTAGCATGTTCTGGGTGGAGCTCGTGTTCGCTCGAAGTTACGGATTGATTGCACAGCATGCAATATGCTTACAGGGTTCGTGTCGTGTCACCTACAGACCAGACACCACCTCCCCAGTACTACAACGACGCGACGAGACGGCGGGGCTCTCTGGCGGTACTTTCCGGCAGTGCTGTGCCACCGTCACATGGTCATTGCTGTGCTGGGTGATGTCCGTGATTGGCCCGAACATACACCTCGAGCCGAGAAACACGTCGGTGCACGGCGGCACATCCACCAGGGCGAGCAGACGGAACGCAAAGTCGGCGCGCACGCCGCCCTTGACGTGGGAGCGTCGCGCTGCCACGATCTCCTCTGGCATGGCTAGCTTTCTCAGGCTGACGCAGCGACGCACCGCATCGACAAAGCTTTGCTGCTGGCGTGGAGAAGCGCTCGAGAAATCGTTGCCGCTTACGTCCACGAGCTCGAGATCAGGGAACTGTGGTAGTAGCGCGGCCAGGATGGGCAGTGACGATGACGTAATGGCGATGTCGCCCAGGAGAATCTCCTCCAGGCCGGAGCATGTGGCCAGTGCCGCGGCGATGCGTCGCAGGCCGCAGTTGCCGATGCGATTCGCCGACAGATCCAGGCGTATCAGTGTGGCCGAGAAGAAGAGCACGTGCTCCAGAGAATGTGCGCAGGCCGATGTCAGGCGATTGCTGCGGAGGTTGATCTCATGCAGCAGGCTAGAGGCCAGGGCCGGTTCCAGCTCTGCCAGGGATGTGTCATCAACGTCGTTCCGCTCCAGGTTGATACGGCAGAGGCGACGACAGCCGGAGATGATACGACGTACGGAGCCGACACCTTCGCCGGACAGATGACACGAACCGAGGCTGATACGCGTCAACCTGCTACAACGCCGCAGACTGCTGATCAGGATGTCGGCGCCCTCGTTTCCAATCCAGTTGGAGTCCAGTACGAGGCGGCGCAACGAGCGACGACTCGTGGTGACGACGTTTCCGACGAGCTGCATGTGCCGCGTGCCGAGGCACATGTCGGCCAGGTCGAGCACGTTAAGGTGAGTGCACCGGCGCAGCGCCGACAGGATCATGATCAGATGCTGGCTGTTGGCCGCGCAGCTCCGCAGCACCACCTTGCGAATCACGTGGCCGAACGTGGTGAGCGTGTGGCAGATCGCTTCGCAGTCGTGCCACGACAGGTCGTAGCCGACGAAGTTGATGCCGTGCTGCCGGAGCATGTCGCCGAGTCGCGATGCGTCGTACACCGGCGATGCGGCACCGTTAGCTGAGCTATTACGCGAGGCTGCCAACAGCACTGTACAATCGTAGAAGTCACGTCCGTTGTCGCGCGGGTCCGACAGGCTATCATCGTCGTCGTCATCATCATCGTCGTCGATGTGATCGGTACCGCCAGTGTCAGTGGTGCCCTGAGTGCTGGTGGTGCTAGTGTTGGAGTGCATGCGCTGTGCCATGCTTCTAGGCCCGGTCACGGATAGGTTGCACGATCCCAGAGAGACATGGCTGATCTCACTGCAGTAGATGCTATCGCCACTGTCTGTCAGTGATGATGTCGTGCTCACTGGTGACACAACGGGGAGTGTCGAGCCACTGCAGCTACTGCAGCTATTGCACATGACGTCATCGGCGATGTCATTGCTGGTGATGTCATTGCACATGATCATGTCATCAGTGATGTCACCGCTGCTGCTGCTGGCGCTGTTGCAGGAAAGCTTTGTGATCGACGGGTCCACGGCGCCGAACAAAACACTGCTGTCTCCCATGATGACGAGATGACAGGATACACACAACCAGCGTGCTGCTACGTCCTCCTGTGATGCACGCCGTGTGTGCTGCAGCCTCGTCAACACACTCTTAGTAGCAAGCTTTGTATGAAATTTTTCACCGTGTGCTTGAGACTCGGCTAGCCTGAGGTTTTCAGCACACTGCAAAGATCTGAGGCGCAGATGCAGCTTCTAAAGCGATGGGAGGCGAGTAGATCAGACCCGCCAGCAAAGCGTTGGAAAGCACTGGTAAAAGAAACCAGAGGAATGAGATACACGCGGGGGTGAGCAGCAATTTCTACCCACTTTCCAATCTCAACAAACCTCACGCAGAGGAAAGTGCTGCTAGTCAAAATCAGCAAGAACACCACTGAGTCTCTTTGATATCAGGCAACAGCACAGTTGAATAGTCCAGTCGATGAAGTGAGAAACTCCGACAGCAGTCACAGCAAGACAGCTAGCAGTAATTGCAAGCAACTGCACAAGCTGGCTACCGTGGGGTTTCTGCACACCTTCACAATCACTTGCTGCTCTTAAACCTGGCTGCAGGTGAACTGGAAACCCCAACTGAGAAAATCTCCCCCGACAGGAAGGCAGGATGGCAGCAGACTGCCTGGATCACTGTCACTGAGTGCAGCTGAATATACACACACATACATACATTATGTAACATCACGACTGATGACAGCTAACTGGTCTCGCAGTATCAGTGCGCCTGAACGCCATCTGTTATTGCTAGCACACCACTCTCTGCCCACACTGCCCACCCATGGCAAATGCTGAATAACCATCGCAAGCAAACACTGCACACAAACACTGCGGAGGCAGCACGGCTGCTGGTTGTGGGTTTTTCTCACAGCACGTGTGCTAACATGTCTGTCTCAGAGCCATGCATGACCCCCTCCCCCTCCCCACACACACACAACACAGCACAGTACAGGAGGCACCTAGCTGCGTATTAGTCCCACGGCATCACTGACCCAGAGCCAGAGCCAGAGCCAGAGCCAGAGCCATGCATCAGCATCAGGAGCAGCAGCACACCAGTTACAGCACACAGGAAGTTGTTCAACATTGTTTTCTTATCACAAACCAGCAGGCGGTTCTACAAGTCTGCGGCCTACCATGATCAGAAAACATTAGTGACCCAACCCTACTCCTACTTGCCAGTACAGTGCGCACGGCATTCGCTAATGCGCCGCCCGGCAGTGAAGTCATGAAGAAATCTGCCGCACGGGGGCAAGCCAGAACTCTATACGGTAAACAGCCCGTCGCACCGCAATGGGAAATCTACCCCGGCACAAACGCATAATCCAGTCAAGCCAGTCAGTGTTATCTCACACACTGAACGGCAGGTGCACGCCAGACGTCACCTCCAGCACGCAAAGCGTTCAAAAGCTCCAGAGGACGTGCTGAAACCAGACGCGCCCATTGTCCTCTACCGTGCCAACAAGAAGCAATCTAGTCATTGAAATCAGTATTATCTCACAGAAGGTGGTGACCATACGTGTGCCACCTCCAGCACAAAACGTTCAAAAACTCCTGAGGACGTACTGAAACCAGACGCACTCCCTGGTCTCCGCGCAATGATATCAAGTAATTCGGCAAGCCATCCAGCATTTCATCTTCTCTGACAGCCAATGCCAGCACCGCCAGCACCACCACCACACATGAAAATATCAAATAAAAAATAAAAATCAGCAGAAATGCACTGCTCGTGTTTTGTCTGATCGTCAGCGAAAACAATCACTTCACATAGAAGACATTTGTCACTACACGTTTAGCCCGTCAATCTACCAGTTGCCAGCTAGGGTAGCACCAGTTTCTCTCAGGGAGTGAGGTTTGCTTACAAGCAATGTATCGCACTAATGCAGAGTGACCCCAGCATGAGGAAACCGGCTGCTGTAACCAAATGCTTCCACGAGCACTTATCATGCAAAGTCAAAACGATACGTCTGCACACAAACAGTGTACTGTAAAACATGTAATTTTAGGTGTAATAAAATTTCGGCTTCAAGGACCTGACGGGTTTCAGGCATAACATCATAATACACGTACATCATCATACACGTACATCATCATACACGTACATCATCATACACG